TCATGGCGAAAAATGCTTTATGAGCTCGGGGTTCTTTTGCTGAGTTATCGACTTTTATTATACCAGGATGCACTGGATAAACAACATTATGGAAAAGACACTTCCCGCTTGATCCCTGCCCCCTCTCTTTTCGTAATCACAAGCTGTGCTTATGATCACGGGGGCTCGCGATGATAAGCACAGTCTGGAACAGGTACCGTCAATATAACGAATGCTTTCTCGTGATATCGCTTACCCAGTGCCTCCTTGTATAATGAAGGTCGGTAACTCAGCATAAATGTTAAAATAAAATAAATGTCAAATGTCATAAATGTCAAAATGTCAAAAAACCAGGAGCTGAAGACCTTTTTGTGCTTACATCGGGGAATGATTAACGTCCAATGAGTTGAGCCAATTCGGTTCTCTGGTGATGAGCCGAGAGACAATGGGGCCTCACACGAGTGGAAAGGTCAGGCTGTGTGCGGGACGGGCAAGGCTGGGAGTGATACCAGAGGCGAGCGCAGAGCGGACGAGGAAATGGAAAGAATCGGTGACAGGGAAGCCTTGAGAAAAGGATTAGCAGGGAGTGCCGCGATCGGCGGAGTCTTTGCGTCCACCAAAGTACCCAACTCGATTTAGTACGCAGTGACGCAAAACGATCGGTAACCCCGACGTTCAAGGGATGTAGATCATCCCGAAACAGAACCCCAAAATTACCGTATCAGACGGCTTTCTCGCCGGTACATCCCGAAGCCAAAAAACTTCACCGAATGGATGCAGCACATGAACAGGCATGACGGGCATGCAAAAAACACTGTCGACCGTCATCAGCGACGCGCCACGGTCGGCGAGCATGGCTCGAGGCGAGCATCCATCTGGTGGCGGAGCTGCCACTCCGAGCGATGCAGCCTGACGTCCGCTCTGTAGCTGTCACGCGGCGGCCAGCGGCGGCCGTGGGCTGCCAGAGGCGAGCCGGGCGACGCTGCCCGTAGGGCTCGGCGGAAGCGGCGCCCCGGGCGACGAGAATAGGCTGCCGTCGGTCGCCCTCGGCTCGTCCGCGTCGCCGTGTCACACTTGTCAGCCGGCTCCAACTGGCCCAGAGACACGCTGCATCCGCCGTAAATCGCCGATGCTGCACGGAATGCCGTGGCGGTGAGCCGACTGCGCGGGGGTGAGGCTATACTTAGGCGAAAACAGGCGAGGCCGTTCTCGCAACATACGGCAGTGAATCACACCTTGGCAGTGCACAAAAAGCTTCCAGCTTCGGACAAGACTGGTCCTCTCGACCGAAAGTTGAGAGCCGTGGGTAGGATTCCGTCTTCCTGACCCTCCCACTCTCCCAGTGGGAGGGTCCCATGTCCACTCTCCGTATGACCACTAGGTGAGCTGCCCGGCCGAATACAACAGCCGAACAAGACATGCTTGATGACATAATTCCCTTCGCATGTTTTCCAGATGTTGGCTTAAGTCTGCAGCCAAGGCTTCAAACTGGCGGCAGACGCACGCGCGGCTGCATGAAAAACAAGAGGAATCCACACGACGGAAAACAGGAGGAATCCACACGACGGAAAACAGGAGGAATCCACACGACGGAAAACAGGAGGAATCCCCACGGAGGAAAGCGGGAGGAATCCACATGGAAGAAAACAGGAGGAATCCACACGACCGAAAACAGGAGGAATTCACACGACCGAAAACAGGAGGAATCCACACGAAGGAAACAGGAGGAATCTATACGGAGGAAAACGGGAGGAATCCACAAGGAGGAAGACAGAAGGAATCCACACAGAGAAAGACAGGAGAAATCCACACGGAAGAAAGCAGGAGGAATCCACACGGAGGAAAACAGGAGAAGTCCACACGGATGAAGGCATTTCTGGCAAAGCGCATACCCGCCTGCGTCAAGTGAATAGTCACTAACGAGACAACTGGTGTTCAAACGCCGTCCCCAAGGCCTCGTTGTGCCGCCCATTACCGGGGCTTTAACGCAGCGCCAGAACGTGCCCCCGATGTCTGTTTGCTGACAACAGTTGACGCCGCCGACAGCTTTGGTGACGCCAGTGACCGCCGACAGTGGTCCACTTCGAGCTGGGACCAGACGACGTACTGACCCATTGTCATGTCTGCCCCACCGCCCCCCACCCACCCTCCCTGCCGACGAGCGCCTCGCATCCGCCTTAGGAAAAGGCCGGTGACGATGGAGGAGTCCCTAGCTCGGAAGAGCCAAAGCCTTCTTGACATGTGCCATGGGCTCCGCTTACGTTAATGGAGAGTTGGCAAAGACGGCCATTTATTTTGGATCAGTACACTCGCCCGCCAAAATATATTTTTGCAGAAAACAGGCTGCTCCCCGTGAGAGAAGTGAGATGATTCTGACATACGTCATGCTGCAGACGTGGGGCAAGCAATGTCGATGACTAAAGCCGCTTTAGGTTTTCTTAAATGACTTCTCCTGAAGTCTGCTGCAACCGATGCCATTGCTGATTTGCATCGTTCCTACTGAAAGCCCTATTCTGGTTAAAACTTTCAAGCTTTGAATGGGTTTTAAATGACCGGCGTACCTCACAGCATCACAACGGCCCGTAACGAGATTATCCAGTAGGCCTTGAGCCTGTGGAGCATTCCCATTTTAAACAGTGTTGATCCTACATACCTGTGCCTATACCGGTACCTGTACCGGTACGCCATACCGACAGCCAGTGTCACGCCGCTCACGACACGTCGCGGTACGCCATACCGACAGCCAGCGTCACGCCGCTCACCACAAGTCGCGGTACTCCATACCGACAGTCAGCGTCACGAGGTGAACGCCTGGCCATCAAGACGCCGACGCGGCATCAGATGCGAGCAGCCACTGGTGAATGACGTAACGGCCATCCAAGGGGACGCGCCAACGCAGACAGGAATGACAGACAAAATGAGATGAACCCGGGACGGTTGGATCGGGGAACTATCACGCATACACCTGTATCCTTTGGCAGACAAGTGGTGGGGAATATAGATGGGACACCTTTGTTGACACATTAGTGGTGAAAGAGTTGTACGCAGGGGGAGGGGGGGGGGGGGGGGCGGGGGAAGGTTGAGAGAGAAAAGTCCACAAAGGTCAGGGTACGTTTACCCCGCGGTTGTGCCTACGGTGAGACTGCATTTAAGCGCATGTAGCTCCCAGGCAAGTAGCTTTGTGGCCTCGCTGTGAAACCATTTCTACCCGTTGGGCAGGCATTGCATAGTGGGGCTCTCCCGAAAATTAAAATAGGGCACCTAGTAGCCAAATCCAGGACTCCACATCAAGTCTTTTAAAGTAACGCGACGTAACTTCGACAACTTAACGACCGCGATAACACTGCCCGTCTGTTTTATCGGCGATCGGCCTCCCAGTCGACCCCCAAACGTTTAACCAGCTGTCGGTACTGCTGAAAGGCGTCCAGACGGAATAGCGGGTCGGGCGGGCGGGCCATGGGAGGCTTTCCCGGCGCCAACTGAAATGCCAGGATTACAGGGCACACTCTTACCGGGTAAGAGGCTCAGGTGTAAGGCGTTGTCTAGAGCCCGGCCACTGAGAGGTGCCAGTGAAGGAGTCTGGGGCGGCAGTCGACCTCCGGGTGCCTCCGTTCACGCGGAGCATCGCCCCCAGTCTTACATTCCAGCCGTCCGAGTACTCAACAGTCCAGCCGCGCGATGCTCAGTAATGGCGTAACATTAGACGGAAAGAAATGCACGAGGCCCGTCCAAATGAAAGCATCATTTCGTCACGTCAATTTCACGCAGCCCGCCGTCGTAAAACCCGGGGAGAAAAGTGCCGTTTATCGTTCGCCAACCGGCGGCAGGCTGGGCATTCCGCTGAGCACGCTGAGTCTGCTCGGAGACCTGACTGCTGAAGAACTTACTCTTCAGAGAACTCTGATCAATATAGAGGTCCAGAACAGTTCAATGGATACAATAACGCTTCAGCTTATTATCATTTTTATCAATAACAGCTTCATTCGTTCGAAAAAACTTGCGACACCTGAGGATGCTCTGTCGTGGTCTGTGTTCTGTTCTGTGATCGCATATCTCCGCAGCGACGCGTCGCAGCGTATCGACGGTCAGCGGAAATGACGGCACGTCTCCATCACTTCGATCCCTCCCGGCTCCGTTGCTATCGCGTGAGGACGTAATAGTGCACTGCGTTTCACTGCGCTTCATTGTGGTCTTTCTGGCGGGGGTCGTGATGGAACGCCAGTGGGAGGGCCCCTGCATCACGCCACGCCTCGCGTCTTGCAGCGCTGCAGATACGGAACGGGGTGCAGGAGCGCCTGGTGAGAGCCGCAACCCCGCCGGGTCAGCCCTCATAGGAGCGCCTGGCGAGAGCCGCAACCCCGCCAGGTCGGCCCTTAGGGTTTAGGAGCGCCTGGTGAGAGCCGCAACCCCGCCGGGTCAGCCCTCAGGGCATAGGAGCGCCTGGCGAGAGCCGCAACCCCGCCGGGTCAGCCCTCAGGGCATAGGAGCGCCTGGCGAGAGCCGCAACCCCGCCGGGTCGGCCCTCAGGGCATAGGAGCGCCTGGCGAGAGCCGCGACCCCGCCAGGTCGGCCCTTAGGGTTTAGGAGCGCCTGGCGAGAGCCGCGACCCCGCCAGGTCAGCCCTCATAGGAGCGCCTGGTGAGAGCCGCGACCCCGCCAGGTCGGCCCTTAGGGTTTAGGAGCGCCTGGTGAGAGCCGCGACCCCGCCAGGTCGGCCCTTAGGGTTTAGGAGCGCCTGGTGAGAGCCGCGACCCCGCCGGATCGACCCTTTATCCACAGCCTCAGTTCGGTGGGGGGGGGGGGGGGGGAGGGGAGGCTCACCGCGGTCGTCCGCGCCCCTCTGCCGAGGGATAAGCTCTCGAAGTTCAGAGCCTAGCCCGCGATGCGCCGCTGCCGTTGGTCTGCCGGTAAGGGAGGCAGCGAGTGGCGGGCCACATTTGGAGCTGTTCCCGTGTTGGGGGTTGGTGAGGGGGTGTCAGCCAGCTTGGCATGGCGAAGGGCGCCTACAACGGCTGACTCACCTCATCGCAGGCGGCACACCGGGGCTTCAGCTGCTGCGCGTAGTGCCGTTCGCAGTAGATCTCCTCGTCGTAGACGCAGTATGTGAGATCCACTAGCAGCTGGTCACACGTGTGACACACAAAACAGGCCGGGTGCCACGTCACCTGGAACATCACCCGACAATGCCCACACGTTGCAGGTCCGCGGGATATCACGTCAAGCGCTTTAAACAGCTTCTCTTCGCACGGCCTTCCTACTTCTACAGCATAACTTAACTACACCAGATGTAAAACAACACAGACATGTCATGCGATGCGCTACGACAACGCTTCGTTGGGAAAGCACAGTAAGAAATTTGTGCGAACGTTTCTGACCGATCAGTTGCATTGGTGTTTTTAAGAAATCAGTACACTCATCTGGTGGGCCTTGACCTGGACTATTACGGTGTAACGAAATACCAAGTCCAGACGTTGTCGTACTGGGTGATTGGAATAGGTTTTACCTAAGCTATTCCCATCGTACTTTACAGAATAATCTACTGACGTTTCACAATAACCTCCTGGTTTAAGATACATCACAACAAAATGATGCTGCGAGACACCGCCCCCATCGGTGTACTGATGCTGCAAGACACTGCTCCCATCGGTGTACTAATACTGCAATACACTGCTCCCATCGGTGTACTGATGTCGCAAGACACTGCTCTCATCGATGCTGACACTTCTCCCATCGGTGTATTGATGAGCGCTTGGCGGATTTCGAGGCGCGCCTTTCTAAACGGACGGACAACATTCGAAGTGCCAGTACCCACGCCGAAACCAGGTGGCAGCATCATTCCCCGCGAGAACCCGGGGCTATTGAATGTGGCGCCACCATAGGGAACATGGCCTTGCGAAGTCCACCAAACGGCAGCTCCTTTGAGCACCATCATGTTGGGAGGCAGGAGCTTCCGTGCTGATATGGGTAACTCTGATGAACGTCGATATCAACTCAGCGCCGGGGCAAATGAGTTCACGGAGCCGGACACGTCTGGCCCCGATATTCGACTTTTACAGCGTGCTATCCACGAGCGGCGCCGCAATTTTCTACGATGTGGGCGCGGAGCTACACAGATGGCACCAGCGTCTCCCGCGCGCTCGGGGCGGGCCGAGCGCCCCCGGATTTAAGGCCCGTTCAGCCGGCGCGGACTGCTCGGCGCTTCGGTGTCAACGGCCGGGCGGGATCCAGCGGTCCGGCGGACAGTACCGGGAACCCAGGCCGGCCAGCTCGGCACAGACACCACGTGATGGACCGGCAAGTTAGGCTCCATCCCGAGACGGATACGCCAAACTCGTCCAAGCGGCGGCCAGCTCCGTCCGGGTGCTGTTCTTGAAAGAGTCGCTGAACCGTGGTGTGCCTTTCACCGCGGCGCTTGCTCCAATACAGGACTGAGGTCAGCAGCTCGCCTCAAATTTGTGTCTGATATTTAGGCTTCGATTTTCCGTATTACTGTGATCTTACCCAAACAAATTATTTCGATTATTTTCTTTGATAGAGCGATATTTGCTGAACCTGGTGATAAATGGGCGGAATGGTCCGATTTCCATGCGGAATTCATTGAACTTTCGGTCTCATATCGGATTACCACATTTGTTTAAGCTGCATGGCCGAACTGTAACGTCATACGCCGTCTAGCACGCAAGCCCTGCCCTTTCACTTATTAGGTTCAGAAAAGTTGACGGGCCAGGGCGAATTCCTGCGGCGAGAATATGATCAGCTGATCGGGCAGAGTGAACTCCTGCGGCGAGAGTATACTCCGCTGATCGGGCAGAGTGAACTCCGGCGGCGAGAGCATACTCCGCTGATCGGGCAGAGTGAACTCCAGCAGCGAGAGTACACTCAGTTGATTGGGCAGAGTGAACTCCGGCCGCGAGAGCATACTCCGCTGATCGGGCAGAGTGAACTCCAGCAGCGAGAGTACACTCAGTTGATTGGGCAGAGTGAACTCCGGCGGAGAGACTACACCCCGCTGATCGGGCAGAGTGAACTCCGGCGGAGAGAGTACACTACACTGATCGGGCAGACTGAACTCCGGCGGAGAGAGTGCACTCCGCTGATCGGGCAGAATGAACTCCGGCGGTGAGAGTTTACTCACGTCGCCAAATCTCGGAGCTATCACAGCCAGCTCGCCGTGCCGTATCACGCGCTGACACTTGCGGCACTCCTGCAACAGGGAGCGCTCACGTCACAGGCGTCCAAAGCCACGGCAATAGGAGCCGATCTCGTTATCACTAGCGGATGCATGAATGTCCATTGCGTGGCCTCATGCATGAGCCGCATGTGCCAGTGCACGGCATAAATAGCACAGCGCTACACACAGTCGACGGAGATGAACAGCAGCGTACACGTTCATCGCTCAAATGAACAAGCCTTTCAAAACGTAGACACCTCTGCAAACACCACCGCCCATACAGTACGGCATCACTGACGGAAGGAATCGCAAATATCTACCAACTTGCAAATTCGACGGACATTTATCAGCGGGCGTATGCCTTTGGTGCCATTCGAAGGGTAGCTCCTCAAAATATTTTGTTAGCGAGCCCAAGCAAGAACGACTGAGTGACGCGTTGGCAAACTTGCGAGCCGGTTGTTCACAATGAATGAGGGCGACAGCGCAGGGGCCGCCGGAATACACTGCTGAACTACCGGAAAACAACTCACTGGTGGCAGGCCCTTTGGCAACAACACCTCATCCTGAACGCGCGGGGCCACACCTGGCTACCTTAAAACAACATGAACGCGGACACCCGTCAGTATAAAAAACATGCAAGGGGTGGCAATCCCACTAAGACAGGACGATGAGCGATGTGCGTGAGTAGTGACATCCATCCGCATGCATTTCCACGCAATGACCAAAATTCTGCGTGACCCGCGCTTTCGACATCGTTGGGCTACCTCTGAAGTGCCTGGGTGGCTAAACGGGCCGGCATCTGCCCCGACCCAGCGCGCCGGCAGCGGGCAGCGCAGATACCACTCAGCAGCGCCACCTGGCCGCAACACGCAGGCCGTCCCAATGACGTCATCAGTGGCAGGCGTGTTTGGTGCTGTTGAGCCCCACAGCGACTGCATAGCTTACGGTAAACCGTCCGTGTTGGCGTACACCCCGTTTTATGGGGAACTGCGCGTAACCGTTTCTTTGATGGTCGTGCAGTGATTTCAACTGAAAAACCCGGAGACGACCGGTCGGAAGGAGACGACCGTTTGTTCATGTTCCGCAACTAGTGGGTCGGATGAAACTGACGTGAGTTGTTTTGTTCAGTTCACACGCAACGTCATGAACTTTCACCTACATGACCGTGAGTCGTGAACAATCAACAGCTGAGATTGTTAGTGCGTGTTAGCGGGCAGATGGCTGATCGTCGGTTTGGGGTGCTCGTGAGCGCGGATGTGCACCACTGAACAGTATATTTCGGACAGTCAACCTCCTCAAATGGACCGAAACGTAGGGTTGCATTCGGCGCAGAGACAGTGGCCCACGCCGCCTGCTGAGCCCGAGCCGTGGAACGTTTTTGTGGTCTTGGGCAAATTCAAAGGCTTCCAAAGGCGATCAGGACGTGGACAAAAGGTCCCAACCGTAACAGAGTGCAACAACATAAGAAAAGGCGACAAAGGGCTGCAGAAGGCATGAAGCCCGCAGCCGTCGCAGCTCGCAGTCTTACGAGCGGAATGTACAGCGTGTCTGCGGGATGCAAGGGCATTTGCACAGTGCTGACGTCTACCATGAATGCCTCCTCATAAAAGGAAAAGGGACACGACCAACATGGGCCCGTAATATTCATGCCTGATGGATTCAGCTAACGAGTCTGGGGGATGGGAGTTGGAAACATTGACAGCGTAACTTACTCTTAGACCATATTTGTCCCCTGATTTTGGCTCAACTGCTTTGCTCGCATGCGCACTTGCTTTCATAGACTTTGTCACAAGTTACGTCAAGTGGTGATGATAAAGGTGATAAAATAGCGTGCGTTTAACGCGAGGCCAGAGACCCCTTTGTATATGGACCGATCTCGGGAAAACCATCCCTTGTTTCACTTAACCAGGGTCACTGACCTACCAAACATGACGGTCCCCTTACGGGAATAGTCAGTTTTATGAAAACTGTGCCCACTCGGTGCTACTCAGTATTCACTGCCTGACATAAGAGTACCATCAATGTTGTGCGCACAATCCATACGAGGCACCTTAAATGAGATCATACCTCGCAGCCCTGTCTCGATTCCTATTGAAGCTAAAAGCCAGACTCAAGGGTTGTGTTGGGTATAACGTCCCATAGACGCCACATGGAGTGGTTGTCACTCATTTCTTTGACCAAATTTCATGTTGCAATGAATACGTATGGAAATTGTGGTGACCTGTTGAACGCACGGTCGTTTCTTTCCGCCACGAAGATTTGCTAACTGCCCTTGGTTTGCAGCAAATTTAATCTGCATCTCTCAACAGTCCCACTATGATCAAACCATGTCTTGGTCTGACTAAGCCACGTCCTGGTTTGACCGAACCACGTCTCTGGTCTGACCAAACCACGCCTTGCTTTCACCGAACCACGTCTTCACGTCTTGGTCTGACCAAACCACACCCTGGTCTGACCGAACCAAGTCTTGGTCTGACCAAACCACGTCCTGGCTGAACCAAACCACGCCTTGGTTTGACCGAGCGACGTCTTGGTCTGACCAAACCACGTCTTAGTTGGACCAAAAGACGTCTTGCTTGACGCTACGGTAGGTCTAAGTAATTCCCAGTGGCGCACAACGAACGACTTTCGCCGGTATTCAACCCAATAACACACGTCCAAACTCTCAATAAATTCAAAAAGTGACGCTCTTTTTTGTTTGGCCATGGACCACCGCAGCTGGTGGACTTTGTGGACGAGGACTACGGAACCCAGTGGAGACTGTCTGATGACTTCGGTCTTCCAGTGACGGTGGACGGAGCACGGGCAGTGGCCTGGCATATCGTCTGGGGCGTGCCTGGCACAGGTTTCCACCTAGCGACGAAATCTGGAAGAATGTTAACTAATGCCGCTGTCCTCATCACCCGGGGTGCTTTCAGTGCCCGCATTCTGTGGCGCCCGGGCGTGATTGGTCACTTCAGAGGGCGCTGACTCCGTCCACTGTTAAGCTCCGTATCTATTGATGCACGATGTATGAACGCATGACTGTGACTTTGTATGACTGCTGGTATGCTGTGGGGCTCAGTTAAAGGGCCAGCTGTAACGAGCGGTAAGGCAAGGTCTTCATTCAGAATTATTTAGGTGGTGCAAGAATTTGTGGAAGGCTGTGAGCCGCAGGATATTCAAGCAGTTTTTCCGCAATTACACTGCATCTGGGCATGACACCGCTACATAGGTTGTGCGAGTGTTTGTTCTAACGGCAGCCGCAGCCTCCCCACGCGAAAGTTTCGCAAGGCTGACACCTTGGGGGTTTAATGGCGCCTTCCATGTCCTGAGCTGTTCGTCACCGCAAGATCCCATACCGATTGTCGCGAACCGACGAAACTTTACGCCGGCAGCCGGGGCCGAACCCATGGCTTTCCGCACGCGATCGTGGACATCCTGCAAGCCTGTGTCTAAACTAGGAAACAGGAGCTCATCTTTGACTAAATAATACGACCTTCGCTGCATTACTGATTAAGGATAGTGGTTTTCAGAACAATGCACCGTGGTCTCTCCAAGACATTTTCATAACGTTGGACGCCTTGTCCGGCGTTAAGGCCACGTGCTGGGACCTCTTTTGCAACACAGAAACGACTAACCACTTCTGCAGTTTCATAAGATTGAGGCATAGCTTAAATGGGCCTTTCTAAAACGCATTGGGCATGCCGCTACGAGGCTCTGTACAACATAGGGGTCTCTCCCCGCGCGGCCAGCACCGCGGTCCGCTCTGCATCCAACATCGCCACACTCGGCTTGGTCCTGCCATGACATCACACCGTCTGCGGCTCGGTCCTGCCATGACATCACGCCGTCTGCGGCTCGGTCCTGCCATGACATCACGCCGTCTGCGGCTCGGTCCTGCCATGACATCACGCCGTCTGCGGCTCGGTCCTGCCATGACATCACGCCGTCTGCGGCTCGGTCCTGCCATGACATCACGCCGTCTGCGGCTCGGTCCTGCCATGACATCACGCCGTCTGCGGCTCGGTCCTGCCATGACATCACGCCGTCTGCGGCTCGGTCCTGCCATGACATCACGCCGTCTGCGGAGTCCGCGCCAACAGAACAGCGAGTGTCCACCATCCGCGCGTGTGCCGCGCTGACATTTTTACGGCCTTCCAGTGCCGCTTTCACCAACTCGTTGCAAGGCAGAGCTAGGAAACCGGACTGGGTTGAAGTGATGCCGTTTATTGCGATCGCGACAACATTAAAATATTTATAAGACCTCAGATCCCGGACAACAAAGCTTTTTATTCCGCCGGACCTGGGATGTTGGCAGTCATTAAAACAGGAAGCTGTTAAGTTTCGCTCTGGAATCGTTTCTTCCTTCTTGAATTGGTTGCTATCAAAATGGCTAGCACGCTCCGCGAGTGTTTAGAAAAGCACGTCGCATCAACGAAATAACCCATGCCGGCATGCCGACCCCGTCCTTTCCCCAGACCCCGGGCGGAGTGGAGTGGATGTGATGAGGACATCTTGACAGCCGGTTAGACCCCCGTCCTTTCCCCAGACTCCGGGCGGGGTGGAGTGGGCATGACGAGGACATTTTGACAGCCGGTTACACTCCCGTCCCTTCCTCAGATCCCGGACGGAGTGGAGTGGGTATGATGAGGGCATCTTGACAGCCGGTTACACCCCCGTCCTCTCCCCAGACCCCGGGCGGAGTGGAGTTGGTATGACGAGGACATCTTGACAGCCGGTCAGACCAACGTCGTTTTGAGCTGTGGCTCGAGCCTGGATATGATGCCAGCTAGCTCAAGAAACGCCTTGTTCATGTCAAGCTAGTTCTATGGCGAACGCTGAATTTATATGATGTTTGTAACACAAGTTATATCAAGATCCCAATCTTTTTATCAGTCGGAAAATCAGGACAAATGTCATACTCTAAGCCAAGTGATGTCACTGAAGAAAGCCCGTTCAATTGCTGAATAAAGAATATTTGCCCTTTGAAGCCAAAGCTGAACGACAGCGCACAGCCTGTGCAGACCATGTAGCTCGCAAACGGGCCGACGCAATTCATCATATTAGCCGCACCCCTCGACATCAGGGTCGAGCTGGGAAGGCAGGCCAGCAAACCGGAAACAAATTTGCAAAGCAAATTAATTTGGGAAGCCATTGTTTGGGCTAGAACGGCCAATCCTCAACCACAAAGGTCATCGCTAAAAGTTCGCGGTCGGCAAATCGATAGGGAATGGCACAGACAATCTACCATCGATCAGCATAAAGGTCGCCCCATAGATAGCCGGTCCCTGGTGGGGCAGAGCAGACCGCACTGAGCACGGTCTCGCCTTGGATGCTAACAAGTAAACAGCGGGGATCGGTAGAACTAAACGGAACACCAAACCAGAACGATGTCTCTGTGCATCCCTCCTATTAGACGAATTTAGATCAGAAAGGATGAAATTTACCGCGAAGAACGAGAAAAGCTGTGATTGTACCTTTTCAGGTGTGCTAGTTCACACGCAGTACGATTTAATGCACCCAAATGACGACAACTGCGTGACACGTCGGTATTGTACGCTGGATTCGTGGCTGCCAATCCCAGCAATAATGATTTGAAGCCGATTCCACGTAGATGCAAGTTATAAAATTGCATCACCGCAAACATAAGCCCAGTCGATCCCGCCTACCGCCGTCGCTTCAACTTTCCGGGCTCAAGCTTACCAGGAAATGGTTTACTTCCCGGTCCCTGCACTCGCAGAGGACTGATTCAGCTCTCGGTCCCCGCTGGGCGCTACTCGTACTACGCCTCGGGCCTGCACTCACGGAGCAGTGGCTCAGTTCTCGGGCCCACACTCACGGAGGAATACTTCAGTTCTTGGGCCCCGCACTCACGGAGGATTGATTCAGCTCTCGGTCCCCGCTGGGCGCCATATGACCATGCAGTCGAAGAACCCAAAACCCCAATTACTACCACTGCTCGTACTACGCCTCGGAACTGCACTCACGGAGCAGTGGTTCAGTTCTCGGACCCACACTCACGGAGGAATGGTTCAGTTCTCGCACGAAGCCCACGTCGAGCGCGATGTCGTTGCGGGCCTCGATGAAGTCGCGGAAGGCGCGCTGGTGCTCGCCAGCCACGTGCCGGCAGTGCGTCAGCGCCAGGTCCTGCGCCGGCAGCTGGTGCACCAGGTTACGCTCGCGGTACTTCTCACCGGCCGTGCCGAGCCGCGGCACCTTGTGATTCGGCAGCTGGCTCATGTACTCCTCGATCTGTCGGCAGGGGCGTGACCCGGTCAGCCCGGTGAGCAGGGCCAGCGCCGGGGCTGGGCAGGCCGTGTGCTGTCCACCACATGGGGGAGCCGGCTCCTGGGAATGAAAGGCAGTGTTATTTGCGTCGACACGTGGTGTAGTGGTAGCTTCTTTCTTCGACGTGGAAGCGGAAGGGTGGACGAGTGCCACTGCCCCATCAGATTTGCCACCTAAGTGATGGGCTGGCGAATCTGATGTGGTCGTATATATATTGTACATGGCCGTTTGGGAAGTGTGTGTAGCACTTCAATACCGGCAACAAAGTCGACGTTGTGCAGAAGTAGCACGCTTTGTCGGAATGACGTATGATCATTTGTTAACGCATTCTTCCAGCTTAATTGCCGGCACATTCGACTAGGGTGTTAAAGATAAACAGAGACAGTAATACAGCGGCAGCACGAGGTGTGTGCGTGAACGTAAATTCCAACAATTTTCCACATCTACAAGTAAGAAATGTTGTCTCAGGACTTCCCATATGTCACGGTGTTAGCCGGAAAACGAGTGGGCGAGAGGAAACCAAAAACATGCTTTCATATGCGCATTCTCCCAAAACAAAGCCTCATCGCCACGTAATGTCCCATTGCCGCGCCCCCACTCCAGTCACCAACGAGGGTACCGTTGGCCTGGGGGTGTTCGGCCATCGTCGAAAGGGCCGAAGGTCAGGCGATGAGCGGGCAATGGCGCCTGATTGGGTCATAACAGGGCAGGTCGGGCGTCTCTTCCAGATGAGACGACACGCGTCAATATTCATTATTCAGACTAACGAGCGCGCGCAGCCGACAGGTGATCGTAAAAATAAACTCGGGCGTAATCTGACGAAACGGGGCGAGTCAGAGTAGGCGGCAACAGCTGGCAAGCTTCAGTGGGCCCGTCGCTGACTAATTTTCCGCTCCAGAAGCGCGATCGTCTCAAGTGATGGCTAGAATCCAGTCTTGTGGTGCATCGCATTACACAAGACTCGCAACTGAACACGTTGGTCCGCGCTTCCCAGTGGAATCGGTACAGCATTTACAGTAGTCCCGAGCTTCGCACTGGGTACAGGGAAACAGAGCCATGCGTCCCTTTACAAAAAATTGGAGAGGGATGTCGAAAATTATCCACTGCAGTCCAATTTTTAGCATGCTACATTACGGTGGAAATTCGTTTGAACACATTCGTTGCGCAGTGATACATTTTGTGTGTGTGTGGAGAGGGGGGGGGGGGGGGGAGGAAGCACAACACCGCCTGATATTTTAAGTTTCCGCGACACCGCCCCGCTTTAAGCAAAAATTAATTAAATGTTCCCGTTACCAATGGCCGGTAACTGCTGCTTCCAGAAACGCACAAAGCCACAAGGTAGCCTGGGATGCGGGATCAGTTTGTCATGGTGGACGTAAACTTCTCATGGACATCGCACTTCTCAGGGCGCTGAGTGTTCCGCACATTCAGGCCTGGCTTCGGGCTGCTGTTCTCCATCGTTTTGTGACCCTTTCCACTCCTCCTATCGCTTGCGGCGAGCTTCGCTCATAACTGCAATTCTGCGGCCGCGACGCGTGGTCTCCGACCCGTCCGGCTGGCTTTTGTTGACCTCAGCCTCTGTGGCTGTGCGCCTAGTGCGCCCGCTGAGTGTGGGGCGATGACTTCTTGTCTTCCGATATCTGATATCGTTTTTTGTTTGTACGCAATGTGTTGTCGAGTCGGACACTTGATACCTATGCTGATCGTGATGCTAATGTGTCTTAAACGAGACTACGGCAAACTTACCACAAATCCGGCTATACGTTGGGAATCCTCCAAGTATATTGGAAAAATTCGTGAATTATAGCACTTTTTATCGGATGATGTAGAGGAAGGTTCTATGGCAGGCAGGGAACGATTCCTGAATGCAAGGTGAGTTAAAGACTGTTCTTCAACGCACATGAGTTTCAGCTGTTTTTTTTTCTCGCTCTGCGGCACCGCCTGATATTATTTGAGTCTGCGTTTAGGTAGATTATGAATAAGTTTTGGAATTCTGGCAGTATTTTTTGCGAACTGATAACAGACATGCCATTTAGGTAATTCAACGGCAACGTTAACGCCATAGGGAATCCCCTCGAGGCTGGCTATAGGGACGGTTGACTTAACGACAAGCAAACTGTTGCCAAGTCACTGGCGCTTCATAGGTGACCAGAAAGTCAATGTTTTTACGCAGTCCTGCAGCAAGACAAGATTATTGAATGACACATAAAATAACCTACAATACGACGCGTGACAAAGCCATCAAGTTCACGTGGATGAAACGACTCTTTACATCCGAGGGCCCGTAGAAATGCCTCATCGATTATCGAGTCCTACTGTGCATTGGAACAGATTCACCGAAACATTAACGTCGGAATTCGAACCTCTTCTTGAGGGATGTTTGGTGGTATCAAAACATATACAAACGTACACATGCGTTGTCCAAAGAGCATTTTTTGCAGCTCCATTTGTTTCTCTCGGCCAGGACCATGGTGTCGAAAGGCTGATGGCACAGACGAGTGTTATGTTGGTTGCAGGGCAGCGGAGGATTTCTCGGGCAGACGGGCGGCTTTCACCATATTCAACAAACTATTTTTATTTCAAAATGCATGGATATGGTCCGACAAGAGAGGTTTCCGTCAACGGGAAGGGACAACAAAACGTATCCGCTGATCCAGGATGCTGATATGAGCCAACGTTGAACTTCCGTAAGATCTCTAGTGAGAGAGCGCTACCGACAATGGTAGAAAATTATCTATAAATGCAAAAAAAGCAGCGGCGACATCAACTTGAGGTAGAACCCCAACAGGCCTTCAGACGAGGCGGTGGCTGTAGACGACGTGCAACAACTCACACTGGTTGCCAGGTGCTTTATCTATAGAAGTATAGTTCAAAAGAACCCTGCCAGCTTCCAAAAGGTGGTGTGTTCTATGGAACACATTAACCGAGCAGGATCAACGATTGACTGGCTTATGACGCCGGCTGTTTTCAGCCACAAGCGCCACACACGTCTGTCCCCGAGCAATCTGGGCCTCGCGAAAAGCTGGAGTAAGGTAGGGGAGCAATAGATTATTGGTCTGTTGCGAAAACCGATGCAATCGGTTGGTTGAAAACGTTTGCTGGCGTCGCCAGGGTGATGCTGCAGTGTATGGATACCTATCCATGATCAGGTTACCTGGAGAGCTAGGACTGGTGGTTTAACGAGGTGATGGTATCGTCTGTATGCGAAATAAACAGAATACATAACTCATACTGAAACGAAATTATCGACTCACAGACACGCCATGCAACCCAACCTGTTCCCCTCGGCTTTGACGTCACGAACAACATAATGATGTGAATTTTTTTAAACAATGTTAGCACCGGAAGTTTTAGAACAGAATGATGGTACATTTGTTGATTGTGGAAAGGAGTTTCGGGTCAGCATGCTGTGAGGCTGTGCCATGAATGTTGGACCGCGGCTCCGCGCCAGCTCCCGACAACATTTAACAAAATTGGCATGGCAAATACGCAAGATGAAACAATTTGACACCTCACGCGTATCATTCAAAGAACCTGCCTCAGCATTTGCTGAGTGCGTTCCATGTAGGTAAGCATGTGCCAAGCCCTGGTAACGACCTGCGTTTACCGGCATTCCGAAAAAAAAACAGTCTCAACAGCTCGCGTCCAAGAGTAAAACGATACGTCGAATGTTAAGGCAAGATACATGATTCTAGGAGGACGCCAGGGTTTTGCTCGGAGAGGCTATTCAGCTTTTGCCTTTAGTGCACAGCCCTCCACCGACTCGGTGGGCAGTCAGGCAGAGGGAAGGCCAGGCCATTAGAGTTACATCTTATGTTTCCAGTCCAGTTAAGCGGATTGTTTCAACTGCGATGCAAATTTGGGCATACTCGGGCCCGCCCTTGCCTGGTGCACATTTCTACTCAGTCGTCCGTTGGCAAATTGGGCCAGCGCAGAAGCAAAGCCTCAGAGTGCATGTCTGGGCAGTGCCTTACAGTTCGTGTTGCGTGACAAACATACACCATCAAGCTGAAGGTCGTTGACCACACCGTGCACCACTGTACACTGTCCACTGTCTCACTGTTCATCGGAAGGGCGCCGTGGATGCTGTGGGACCAATGGCCGGCACGTCACCCCCGCTGTTGAAGTGCGTCATATCTTGGCTGGCGTGTCTGTATCTGTAGAATATATTCTGTCCCAGATGCAGAATTTTATGTTGGACGTTTCTGGCCGTGGGAAATTTAAGACGCCGCTTCATCGAGCAGTTGAAGCGGCGTCTTATAGCTCATAACATCTATACTATCTATAGCGCCTATAAATAAGTTCTCATCATCACAGCTGTGGTCACTGGTGAGTGAGAGCATGCTCAGTACGGCCGAATGGTACCATTTGCTTTTCGGTATTGCCTTGAGCGTCGACGATATAATATTGTTTCTGGGGACCGCGGGAGCAAGTGAATAAAATGGGCTGTCCTGCTCCTTCCCACTCTAGCTTGATTTATCCCATTATATCTCATCACGAGAACATGGTTATGAAGTGTGACCGCTCCGCGCATAACACTCATGTTGCAAATGAACACAGTAATTAGCCATACAAAATATTAGCATCATCATACTCAAAAAGTTGAACACGATCATGTGGCATGACAGTCACCGCATCATTTTGAACCTCATACCTCGGCGGCAGTCATCTGATCTTCGACATTATTTTCCCGCGCTTCACTGTTTGTGATCTGCGATCATCTCAAACCTCCGTTATTTAACCATCGGCTGAGATCGCGGCAACAGACACAATAAGTCGGTAAACAAGATTTGATTGTTTAGGGCTGATGGCCTTTTGTGAACAACAGGTGCGGTATTCCCCTTCCACATTAGAAGACACTGAAAAGACCTCACAGGGCGCCAAAGCTTGACCAGGTGCTACTACAGTGCATTCAGCTGCGGACGATTCTTAAAAAAACGAAGGATTTCACGACTGCAGCCAAT